TCTCTTCCTCTCTCTCTCTCTCTCTCACACACACACACACACACAAACACACACACACACACACACACACACACACACACAGGAATATCGGCTCCATGAAGGTAAGAGCTTTGTTTTTATTTACTGTATCTCCAGTGCCTGGAATAATGCCTAGCACATAGTAGGTGCTCAAGGTATGTTTGTTGGATGAATGAATGAATTATGACTTTAAAGAAAGATTTTTGCTCTTCCAGCTTCATTTTATACCTTTTATTACGGCATTGGCATATAATGAATTCAGAGAAAAATCTTTACTTGCTTAAGTGGACTAGCTCCCCTGTGCACACTGCACGTAGGTCAGGAGTAGGGTTATTAAATGGCCACTTCTCTTCATGCTGATAGGACTCTCATACAATTAGATCAAACTTAATTCCTGATTACTCAATTATTTTATACTCATTTGCGATCTCGAAGAGTGTATGGGAATAGGCCTTTTCTGGTTTTCAGATGGACTTGTTAACAGCAGCCCATTGTATTGACCTTTCTCTGCTTTTACCTTTTCTCTCCAGCATTTCTTACACTGAAGCAATGGAGATCCTAAAGCAGGCATCCCAGAACTTCACCTTCACCCCAGAGGTAGTGTGTGTGTGTGTGTGTGTGTGTGTGTGTGTGTGTGTGTGTAAAAATGGTTCCCTCTTGTCCATATCTTATTATTTAAAATAATTGTATTTCTCTTACTAGCAGTGTGCAGGACTTGCTTCTCTACACATTTCCTTTTTTTGATATTTGCTCAACCTTGTTAAAATATTTAGAATGAAAATAATTTTGAAGTAGAGTCATATCATTTGGAATAGCAATGACCAAAGGATTATAAAGAAGTTTCCCAAGTTTAGGAAGATGAAAATCCTTAAAAAGAATGGTAATCATAGACTATCAGTGTAGACATCAACTCATTCAGCGTTTCCCAAAGTGTATTCTGAATGATGTTAGCGGATGACAGACAAAAGAGGTTATGTGATCAAGTAAGTTTAGGCAACACGTTAAACAAGTTTCTTTTTCTGTTGAACTATTTATAGAGCCTTCTAATTTGTGATCCGCTATGGAAAACATTGAATTATTTGTTTTGTTTTTTTAAGAACTCCTTTATTTTATTGGCAAGGATGTAGGTCCTGAGAGGTCACATGATTCATCAGTGGGAAAGTACTTAATGTTAAAAGCAAGTCTCCTTATTTCTAAGTGAGCGCTTCTTTCCTCTAATTCAGATATTGCCAGACAAGTGGGAGCAGTAAGATAATGTTCAGAATGTTATACCTTTGTCTTCATACTATTCCTTATACCAGTCTCATCCCCAGTTAAGTCAGATCCTCTTATAACAGTTCCCTGTGCTTGTTATATTTTAAATCAATTTCTTTGTCTAATTTTGTATTTCATGTTTGTCTCCTATTCGGGGAACTTGATGAAGTCAGGGATTCTATTTTTCTTACCACTATATCCAGTACCTGGCACGGTACCTGAGATTTAATAAGCACATTAGTATTTGCTGAATAAATAGATGAACTGTGTTATTAAATATTCATCAAAGAGCGTCTGATATATCAGTTGACTCTTTTATTTAAAAAAAAAATCACTGAGAAACTCCATCTCGCCAAAGATAGACTCAATATTGGAAATATTATCTTTCATCATTTAATTTCCTGAGACTTAGGAACACTAACTGTGGAAGAAGCTCTAGGCAATATTAATAAAAACTATGAGGCCGAAGTCAGTTTTTATCCGCTGTGGAAAGTGCACTCTGTTTCCCTGCAGGCGCTGTTCACCTGCTGAGTGCTGCTCCCTGCGACGGGGGCAGAAAGCACAGTGTTGATCCTCCAGCTTCAGCTTTCATCTTTCCAGGCCTTTGGATGTTCTTGTTAGCACAGACCTCTCTCTAGTTATCTGTGTAACCTCAGCAAACAGCAAACGGGGGGGGGGGGGGGGGGGGGGGCCTTGGGAGTGACACAGGTTTTCAGGCCCTGCATTGTGTGTTTCAGCCCTGTCTTCTTTGATCATTTCTTTTCTCTCATTACAGTGGGGCGGTGACCTTCATACTGAACATGAGAAGTACCTGGTGAAGCACTGTGGCAACATACCAGTCTTTGTTATTAATTATCCTTTAGCACTCAAGCCTTTCTACATGAGGGATAATGAAGATGGTCCTCAGCACACGGTAAGAAAAGAAACTAAATGAACGGGGGTTAGTCATCGCATAGTTTGGGTCTTTCCCTTGGTTTAATTTTATTTATCCTTTGGAATAATTTCTTGAATTAAATCCATCACTCTACATCTTCTAAAATGACAAAGTTTCTTAAAGGCACCTCTAAAAAAGTGTTCCCAAAGAAGATCCCAATGTTCTATAAACCTCATTTCTATGGCAAAGGTATTCTTAGTTTAGCAAATGCAAATAGAGGTGTGTTTTGTTTTGTTCTTTAAATGACTGAAAGGAAGGAGCCTAGAGCACTGTTTCATGATGCCTGGTCTACTCTCAAGTTGAATCCTGGTTAGGGGACTACCCCTAAGAGGTAGGGGAATATGCTGGCAAGAGATGAGGGCAATGGCACGAACACGCTCAGGAAGAGCTAGCCTGGCAGAGCAGGAGGTAGAGCACTTTGGTTTGGCCATCAAATGGAAATAGTGAGCGGAGGGCTCTGGGGGACCCAAGGGGTCTGGGCAGGTTCTCTTGTCAGTGCTCCTTGAGCATCTCTTCTTTGTCTGCTCTAATAGCCTTTCTTATCCTCTGCTCTTTTATCACCCTTAACTTTAGGTACTTTTTTATCCTTCTGGTTTCCTTTTTCCTTTTTTTTTTTTGTCTTCTCTCCTTTACAAAATTATCAGTTATATGAAATAATATATTTGATTCTAAATATTTATTGAATAATTGTGTACTTAATGTCATTAATTATAAAAGTCTATGATACAAACATACAATGTTTATCTCACAAAAGGTCCAAAAACTAAACTTTGCTGTTGGGTTCTTTTCACGTGTCTTTAGAAAAATACCAGTAGAAAAATGTAGCTCAGGCCCTGCAATAAATAAAACGTCCCCATCTTAAGTATACAGGGTTATCTCTTTGAATGTACTTCCTGTTTTATGGTATCACTGAAACAATAGTAGCCACCAATGAGTAGATGCCTATGAGGCAAGCATTACCATCTCATCTCGAAGTCCTGAAACAACCTTGCCAAGAAACTTGCCATCTCTCCCATTTTACAGATGAAAAAGTGGGGTGCAGAGAGACCCCTTGCATTTCCCAAGGCTACACAGGTAAGAAGTGACAGAGTTAGTATTCAAACCTGATTGCCTCTGGCTCTGAAGCCTGTGTTTTTTTTCACTCTATCTCACTGCCTCAAAATCACAAATATAAAGTGACATTTTAGCCATTGATTTTACTCATCCCCATCCTTCACACAGCATTATCCAAATCCAGTGAGCAATACAATTGATTTACGATTCTTATTTTTCTTTTCCCTACCAATCCTCCAGTATAATTGATTTTGAGAAATGAATTGGCGAACAGGTTGGCAGCAAAAAATAAGAGAGACTAGGGCATAGATTATTGCATCCTAAATAATTCAGTATTCAGCCTCCATCTCAAAATGGAGGACTGTGTCTGTATCTCTTGGCTTTTTTAATCACTCCACCCCACTTCACTCCCACCTCCTCCGACCCCCACACACCATGTATTCTCCTCATGTAATTTCCCTAGTTTGAGCACTTTTCATTCATTCAGTTTTGCACTTCTTAAACACTCCATGTAAGGCTTTCCTTCTCTGTAAAGAATTTCCTGGTTTACACAGTCACCTTGAGCCTTCCTTTTCTGGATTTCTGTAACATTTAAAGAATTAGTAGAACGGATAGCATTGTGTCTGTTTCTTATAGTCTCTGTGTAAGTTTTGCTTTCTCAGACAAAACTTAACTTCTTCAGGGTGGTGAAGGAATTTTCTATACCTACCATGGCACCTGCCACTCATCCCTCATGCCCTCTAATGTGACTTCCACCTTTATCATACCACTGAAGCAGCTCTCTTAGGGTTAGTGATAATGGCCATTTTATTAAATCCAACAGACTTTTATTTTTTTAACCTTAACTAGGCTTGATTCACTTTATTTTTCTTGTGTAAAATTATGTGGTCACCACAGCTGGAGCCTGGGCCCTCTGCACAGAAACTCTAGCGTGGGTCTTTCTTTACAAGATGGTCAGTGAATCCCTGATAGGGAGACTTGGTGAATGCGGTCTCTTTCCAGAGGTCGGGGGTGAGATAAGTATAGGTCTGAGAGATGGCTTCAAAGGTGGCCTGGGCGACGTTGCCCAGGGTGGAAGTGCGGGCCCTCGCTGAGGTGTAGCAGTCATCCATACGAGCCATCAGCAGCCGCTTCTTGGGCCCAAGAGCTGAGACCACGCCAGTGCCCTGGGGGCGGGGCAAGGGAAACGAGGCGCACCAGCACAGAGCCACCGTGGCCGGTCACCTCGCAGTGGACAGCGTGGGGCTCAGCAGTCTCAGCCCGGCACTGGGACAATGGAGAGCTTGGCCAGGATGATGGCCCTGCAGATGGCAGTGGCTACCTCCCTGGAGCACTTAACACCCAAACCCACGTGTCCTTCATAGTCCCTGATGGTGAAAAATGCCTTGAACAGGGCCTCTGGCCAGCGCGGGTCTGCGTTTGCACAGGCAGTATCTTCACCGCCTCGTCCTTGAGGGATGCCCCAGGACAAAATCAATGATGTCGGATTCCTTGATGAGCAGGGATAAGAGAGCGATCTCCTCCAGGAACTTGATCTTCCAATCCTTGACCAGGCTGCCCAGCTTGGTGACAGGGATCCTCTCCTTGTCCTCGGCCTTGCCTCTGCGGGCTCCGCGGCCCCTGCCCAGCCCGTGACCCCGACCACGACCTCGGCCCTGGACGCCGTGGCCTCCCAGACCAGGGCCTTCAGGCCGGCCGCACCGCCGGCATCATCCGCCATTTGGTGTTACCTCAGAGTCCAACAGACTTTTAAGTCTTTATTTTACTTCACCTCTCAGCATTATTCATTCTATTAATGACTTTCTTATTAAAATCTCCTCCTCCCTTGGATCTGTGTCATCTCCCAGTTTTCCTCCTTACTCAGTTGGTTGTTCTTCCTCAGTGTCCTGTACAGGTTCTTCCTCTCCTACTAATCCATTAGATGTTGGAATTTCTCAAGGCTCCGTCCTAGGTCTTCTTTTCTCTTCCCAGGTGATTTCATCTGTACCCACGTTTTTCTGTTTGTTTCCCAGAACACTCAGAAATGTAATCTCTAACCCAGACTTCTTTGAGCTCTGGACTCCTCTTATTGCCATTTACATGTCCCATAGTCATCTCTAACGTACCGTATTCCCCCATGTATAAGGTGCTTCCATGTATAAGATGCACCTTAATTTGGGGGCCCGAAATTTGAAAAAAAATGTATCACATAAAGTTATTGAACTCGAGTTTTATTCATCATAAAATTCATCCAACTCTTCATCACTGTCAAAACTCCCAACCATTAGCTTGTCCTCATCTGTGCCTGATGACGAATCACTACTATCTTCATATATTGCCTCTCATGGCCTTCTTCTGCCGTGGCGTTTTCAGTAGGGTTTCTTCTTCCCGTAGCCAGTCTCGGATCGTTTTCTCAGTTGGAGGAGGACCAAACTTACGTTCAGCAGCACAATTTCCATTCACTTTTGCAAACTAGATCACTTTTAACTTGAATTCAGCACTGTAGGAAAATCTTTTCTGATCCATTTCTGGGCAGAATGTGGCAAAATGTAACCTACCATAATATATGGGTAACAAGTGCAAAACAATGAGCGCAAAGACAGCAAGCGCGAAAAAGTGGGAAATGCAAGTAAAAAAATCTACAACCACTGTATAAGATGCACCCAGTTTTTAGACCCCAAATTTTTTGAAAAAGGTTGCATCTTATACATGGGGAAATATGGTAACATATTCAAAACTGACCCCAGGATTGAGTTCTCTTCTCCCTCCTCCCACCAAATTTGATCTCTCAGTATTCTCTGTTCATCTAATTGTACAAGCCAGGTAACTGATTCATTTTTGGAATCTTTGTTTCTCTTACTTCCCATATTCACGTTGTTACTAAGCTGTGTCATTTTTATACTCCTAATTATGTCTCATCCATCCACTTCTCTTTATTTCCACTGTTACCTTTTTTACGTTAAGATACCATCATCTCTTGCCTGGACTACTTCAGTAACCAAGTAACTGGCCTTCCTGTGTCTACCCTTTCCTCCTCTGAGTCAGTTCCCCCCATTTTAGCATGAGCTTTTAGAAAATGTAAATCTGATCTGTTATCTCCCTTCTTAAAGCCATTCAGTGGCCTCCCACTGCTGTTAAGCTGAAAGTTAAAATCCTTTGCGTGGCCTGCCGGCCCCAGTGCAATCTGGTGGTCCCTGTCTCTCTCGCCTGATGTGCTGTGGTGTTCCCGTTGGCCCGTTCTGCTACATCCACCCGCCCTTCTTCCATGTCTTCAGAAATGCAGTGCTTTCTCTCACCACAGGATCTTCGTCCAGTGTTCCCTCAATCTAGAATAGTCTTCTTCCCCTAAGTAATTTTAATGACTCTCCAGATCTCTACTCAGTCATCATTTCCCCAGAGAAACCTTCCTTGACCCTCCAGACCGAATCAGACCCTGTCAGACACTGCAGTGGTGCCGTTAAATTTCAGACCCAGAGCTACTGACTCTTACTTCATCATAATCCTTAACAGTTGTAATTTTACATGTATTTGTATGACTGTTTAATTAATGACTCTTTCCTCTATGCCAAAGGACTTAAAGAACCCTTTTGCATTCATCAGTGTATCTCTAGTGTCCAGTATGATACCTGGGACATAGCAGACACCTCATATCTATTTGGTGATGGATAGGTGATTGGATGGATGGGTGAATCGAACCCAACACAATTTTAAACAAACAGTGGACACGTAGTGAATGAGTGACTTGATTTGCTAAGGACATTTCTGGGAAGCTAGAGCTGCTTTTACTCTAAATTTTTTGACTGATAGCAATGTGACTTAAAGGAAACTCCAGTGGCTTTAGAGTCAGACATGCTTGGGTTCAATCCCCAGGTCTGTGTTATAAGCTGTGTGATCTTAGATAACCATCTCATTTCTTTGAGTCTTAGTTTTCCAATCAGTAAAAATAA